CAGAATTACTTCACTATGACTTTATCTGATTTAAACCTAATTTAAAAAGTAATTCGTTATCTAGGTATATTAATTAAACAGAATTAAAAAAGGAATGTTATATTAATTAAAAATTATTTATAATCAAAATGTTATTAATTTATATTATATTTATTATAACATATTACTATATTATAATTTATTATTCATTATATTTTATTGATTTATATAATTGTAAAAAAGCACAGTATTGTCCTAAATGTGTGTCCTAGTTCTGTCTGTCTGCCTGCCTCTCTCACTCTCTCTCTCCCTCTCCCTCACCCTCACCCTCACTCTCTCCCTCTCTTTCTCTCTCTTTCTCTCTCTCTCTCNCTCTCCCTCTCCCTCTCTCCCCCTCCCTCTCCCTCTCCCTCTCTCCCTCTCTCTCTCTCATATCAATAAAATAATATACTTTCTAGATATATATAAAAACGACAGATTAAAACGTTTAAAAGCTGTAAATTAAATTCAGTAAATAACAAATTAAAAGTTCGAAAATGTCTTCATATGAATATAAACATATATAGTTTAATTTTAAAAATATTTTATTTTAATTATCTTTAAAATTTGTTCTTGTATGTAAATCAAAATAATTGTTTACTTGTAAAATGTACCTCGAATAGCAATTTTTTGTTGTTAGAAGTGTTTGATATCTGGTCTTGCTTGCCTGCCTTGTAAATATTTTTTAAATAAATCTCTAAGTAAGGAGAAATTAACTTTTTTATTTACTTTTTGTCAAGTTAATTTTATACATAGGTTTTAGTTATTAATGATGTATGAAAAAGAAGTTGTTTTGTTAGGATTGAGTAGAGTAGAGTCAATGAAGTCTGACATTGAATTTGAGTGATGAATGCAAAATTAAAAGGGAAATCAATCAGTCTATCATCTCACTCTCTCTCTCCCTCTCCCTCCCCCTCCCTCCATATCTCTCTCTCTCTTTCTTCTCTTTTTTTATTATTTGCTATTGTTAATTACACTCAGATTAGGTGAAGCAAAATTTGACCTAGGAGATTTCCTGTTCACCTAAAGAATCATAAATCGTTTTTTATCTTTCAAAAACATTTTGTAGCTGTATAACTGTTATTGTTATTGTTGTTTCGATTCGGGTTCACCACAACGTCTCGCATAGCGGTGTGTGAGGAAGTGAAAGTGAACCGGGGCGCTGTTGGCAGACCGAAAAGGATCCGGGCTAATGCGACGGGGAGTCACGATAAAGAGCGAAGGAGCTTGGGAACATCGACGAAATAACGGTGAAAAATCTCGCAGTGGCCGGGAACGATTTTTTTTAGGGGAGCTGATAGAGAGACAGGTGACTTTCGGCGTTTTCTATTCGGGAAAAAAAATCTTCGTTTAAATCTTTGTAAATCCGTTTTACAGAAACTTGACGATTCCGTTAGGATCAAAATCTTAAAAAAAGTGTAGGTGTCATTGACTTATTTCTTATTTGCTAAGGATTAAACAGTTCATTTTATGAATCAGTTTTTTTTTCTCTTGTGTCAAAGTATTAATACTCCATGAAATCCCATTAGCTAAAACCTGATAGTTCAAAACTTCCGGCATACAAGTTGATTAAAAACAGGAAACAAATTATAGAGAGTTCCAATAATGAAGGATTTTTAATGAAGATTTATAATTTTATTTCGTTTTATAATGAAGATCGACGTAACTTAAAACTTTAGAATGGACTTTAAAATATGAAAGGAATTAAGCCGTTAAACTATGCTAATTAGATCAGCAAACATTATTACTAACATTTAGAAAGACAAAATTTTCAATTTGAGGTTAACAATAGCTTAAATTGACCAAAATTTCAGTTTTTGCAGCTAGTAATAAAAAATAATATTTAGGCCAAATTCTTTGACTATAAACAAAACCTTGTTTAATCTCTATCTTTCAATTATTTCTCACACACTCTCACTCTTGCTCACTGTCTATCTTTATCTAGCTTTTTACATTTCGGAATAATGTGTGAACATTTTGGGAGCACTAAATAAATGGGATGACAGTGGATCTTTGTGTTTGGTAAAAGACTTCGTTGTTCTTTATTCTTTAGCGAGTAAGCCAAAACGCATCGTTAGATCTGAAAATAGATTGTGTCCCACGATGTGGGACAGGCATGCCCATTTGTGTACATCGCGTTTTGCTGGTTTTCCGTTTTTCTCTGACGGATTTATCGGCCAGGACGACGTTGCTTTCTCTGTTTACTTCTTACGAATATGAATACATCAACTGTCTTTCTAGTTTGCCCTTAGTATTTTCGGCCTCGCGTGTCGAGTGGCTCGGGCTGGTTCTGCTTAACCGACGGGCCGTGCGGTCTCAACACGATAATTTTTCCGTTTTAACCCTTTTTTTTTTTTTTTGTTTTTAACCTTGGCATTTTCGCGTTTAATTCGAGTCGGAGGGTCATTAACGATCTCGAGGCGCAGCTGCTCGATGCAACAAGATAAACTGATTGAAATAGCGTAAAAACAAGGAACGGCTCGTTAAGCCCGAAAATGCGCTATTTTTCACGTGTAGATTGAATAATATTTGCAATACGTGAAACTGGCAATATTCCTTTATCTGTTGCCTTCATATATATTTGTTACATATTTTTTAATCTTAGTTTTTCAGTTGTGAAATTAAAACAGATCATTAACTATGTGTACTAACAAACAAAGTCTTAACAATAAAGAATATATACATAACGAGTCTGTGGCCTTGTTAAGCCAGACTTCGATTATATATATTCCCGAAAGACACTCGTTAAGTAAAGAATTTTAAATAATTATTTTTAATTTTTTTTTAAATTGAGCCAGTTATAAACTACACTTCAATTAACTTATTCACCTACTATACAATTAAATCAAAAGAACTAGACAATAGGTCTTTCTTTAACAATATAGTGACCGGATTTCCATTAATAAGTTTCAAAATAGTTTACGTTGTATGTTGAGTGTAATCTTCATGAGGATAACACTTATTTTAATGGGGAATTTTCCTGAGAGTGCTTCTCATTTATGCTCATTAGTGCATGCAGGCATGGTGTGTGTTTTCCATTCTTCCGTATCTTTCTCTCATTCCTTTATTCTCTATCACTGACTTTCCCCCTCTCTCCCTCTCACCCTCCCCCCTGTGTGTACGTGTGAGTGAGTGTATTATTTCCCTCTGTTATTCTGTCTTTCTTGATTTTTTTGTCCCCTATCATTCTCTTTCCCACTCTATTTTATATTCTTTGTTTCTCTGCTCTTCTGTACCGCAGTTATTCCGTGTTTTTAAGTCTCAATGCTTCTTCCTTGTCACGCTCATCATTCTTTCTTTCTCGTTCCTTGCTATTCTCTCCTTCGTGCTCATACCCATTTATATTCATCTAAACGGCTCCCTCTTTAGTAAAATCTTAATCATTTGTTGATTCATTCTCCATCTCTCTATTGATTTATCTTCCCCCCTCTCTATCCCTCTCTTACTTTTATTTTGTCTCACATTCTTTCATTATCCTTTCACCCTCTCTCCGTCATATCTTTCTCTCTCTCTCTCTCCCTCCCACCCCCTCCTCCGCCCACACACTCTCTCTTTCCCTAGTACCTCTCTTCCGTATTCTCTCTCTCTCTCTTTCTGTCTTTTCCCTCACACTTTTTTTTCTAACAGTTACACTCATCCTTCTTTACCACTCACTCACTCTCTCTCTTTTTCATTATCACTTTGCTCTCGTACTTTCCCTTTCTGTTAGTTACACTTTTTACTTCTCCCTCACTCCCCACTCACTAACCTATTACACCTATAAAAAAATAATCCTATACGCTTTCACACTCACTCTCTCACTATATCCCTCTCTCGCCAATGTTCTCTTTTTTATCTGTTTATTTTGTGATTCATTTAATCGATAACCGTATTCATTTTTTTAAATAGTTTATTGAAAAATATACTGAAATAATTGCAAATATTTAATGTATGGTACATTATCATCTTGTTCCCTTTTTGTTCTGCCTTCTCATTAGTGCAATTTATTTTTCATGTTTAAAAAACAAACATTTATGACCGTTTCTTGTAGTTTAAGAGCAACGCCCGATTAAACGGTCCTTTCCGAGCTTTTAACATGGAAAGAATCACGTTCAAGAAGAAAACACTACGCATATAAACGCACGCTGACCTGAGCAAATTTACTCATGCATTCACCTCGAAATATAAGAAATAATAATTATAAAAGGAATGTGAGATTCGTTGTTCACGTCTGTGGTGCAATTGTGCTTAAAACATTTTTGATCGTGCCCGACCATCCTTGCGCATCCTCGCAAATATCAGGGATAGGTCAAGTTGAAAGTTCTCCCTTCCTTCATCAAGCTTTTCGAGGAATGTATTGCATCGTTCGAGACTTTGAAACTCGAATATTACTAATAATTTACAAGGTTAATAAATATGACATATGTGAATGTCATATTGAATTTTATGATTTGAAATATTTAAATGTTCAATGATAGTAACTGGTTTCTTTTTCCTTATACGTGATTGTGAATATACAATCATACAGAATATATTAATAAAGGGTGATGTTAATTATATGAAGGTTATTCCGTATTTTCCCTCACAAAATGACGGAATATGGGGAATTGCCGAAACGCGTTCGACAGACCAAAACAGCACGGATGAGCATTTTCTGGGTGTTCCTAAACAGCCAAACTAATAAATTGTTCAAATCTTCAAAAGGCGAATTTGAACGTGGGCTCCATTCTTTTAGAAAATCCGGTTTGACGAAAAAAGAGATGAACACATTCGGCCGTTTCGACACAACAGTACGTAATGAATTAGTCTTGTTAAAATTCAATTCAGTGAGGACTGAAAGTCTTTTGTCACGTTGGTGAGAAATTCGTGGTTTCTTCATAGAAAACTGTCTTTCACTAAAAATAATCATATTTACATTTTTTAAACATAATTAGTTTATTTAAAAAAATGTATATCACACCTATACTATCTTTATCATTAATTAATTGTTTTATTATATACAGAGCAACCTGTGAGCAGACGTCAATACTTCAAGAAGTTATTGTACATGTAAAATTGTCAAACTCCCTATTGTCTAGTCTGATTCTCAATGGTACGTGAGATATTTCTTTTTTTAATGAAAATAATACCAAGTAAAACAGTCTTTGGTACAACATATATTAGAAGAAGCAAAAAGTTTTTAAAAATTTAATTAAATATTCCAATTATCCATCTTCTTGAAGATTATAGGTCAAATAAAGAGGGGATTTTGAATATTTAATTTAATTGTTAGAAGCTTTTTGTCTTTTATGTTGTCAGTTATGGGTAATAATTGCTTTTTAGGTTTGAAACTTGCACGTTTAGAGGTGTATAATTCGAAAAAAAATGTAATTATTGACAATACCCACTGCACTCAAATGACAAAAGGAAAGTTGATCCGTTTCTTGTCCTTCAGGACTGCAAAGCTTTTTATCCTTCGCTGCAGAATTACATTTTAAATGGGCAGTTGTTTTGAGATGATGATTGTGGGCGAGGCGCGTGAGCTCATCGAAAAATATGCACTTGCGCAAGATTTATGCCTGAATTGTTAATATTACCTTGTAATCCGAGATAATACATTTGCTAAAACAAGAGTTGAAAATAGTGTGTTAATTGTACTGAGATATACGACAATAATCCTCGTAATTTATATAATGCCAACTACAGAAGATGAATCTTTAAACAATGTAAGGTCGCATTTATCGCAATCAATTTTGAATAAATTTAGATCGTCCATGAAGAACCAACTGTTCAATAAAAACTCCAAATTGGGCATAGAGGTTTTTTGCGGGTCTCTTTATAAAATGAAATTTCGCATTCTCTACCACTTTTGAACAAGTATAAAAATTGTCGAGCAAAACGGTCAAGGAATGCTCACAGAAAATTAATTTAACTTCTGAGTTCAAGTTTAAGTCCAAATTGGAACGGCGATAGTATATGCCTTTTTTGGCCTTAAGCCCAGATGTGCAGGTTGTTGCCCCTGATTTTATATATAACTTTTAGTGTTTTCATCACATTTTGTATTGTTTAATTTTTATCGGTGCCTTGTAAAACCAAACTTCAAAAAAGAAAAAAAAAATATATATACTTTATTTTTTATCACTTACTTTACCCATGTCTCGTTCTTCTCTCACTTTCTCGTTCTGTCTCACTCTCACTCTCACTTACTCTTTCTCTCAGTTTCTGTCACTACTTTCCTCTCTCTCTCTCTCTCTCTCTCTCTCTCTCTCTCTCTCTCTCTCTCTCTCNTCGGTTCTTCTCTCACTTTCTCGTTCTGTCTCACTCTCTCTCTCTCTCTCTCTTTCTCTCTCTCTCTCTCTCTACTTTTCTCTCTCTCTCTCTCTCTCTCTCTCTCTCTCTCTCTCTCTCTCTCTATCTCCCACACAAACACACACACCCGAAACATCACATATTCACAAACTCAACGAAATCTAGTTTTAATTTGTTATATCTAATTATATGTATATTTTTTTACAGTTCGATTGCTTTTAGGACGTTTAAAGCATAAAAAGAATATCAGCTGTTAAGTATTTTGTCAGATTTCCTTGTTTGTGGCTGGCGGTACAATGAACTTGTAGTTCGGTCTTTTCCTATCAGTTTGGACTAACTATCCTCGCATTCTTCAGTGACGGGCCTGTTAGTTATTTTACAGTCTAATCGCTTAATAATAGGGACCACAAAGAGACTAAAAATACATTTTTTGATACACAAAGTCACTAATTTAAGATGGGGAATATTTTTTGTTTTGTTTTCGAAAACAAAGCATCTATTGTCAATTTTATTTATAATAATATTAAAAAAGTTATCTTGCAATTAGTTTATGTTGTTGAAAAGTGGGTCGAAAAAATTGACTTAACGCCAATCGAATGAGAAACTCGAGGAAGAGTGTCGCATGCCTTAACGGCTTTTAGGCTCGTTCATGTTTTAATGAGGAGACATCATTTTATAATAATTGAAACATTAGCCCATCGTACTTATTTATGGGATGTGGCCCTATTGAGGACATGAGATGAGCGAAACACTTCAGCCCTAATAGGAGAACGCACGACGACGTGAAACGCCAGCTGTTGTTGGCCTCTTAAATTGCCCTTTCCGACCTTCGTACGGTTTAGGCAATTTTTGTCCGTAAATTGGACTCGTTTAATCGGCCCGTACTTGTGGGAACACGCGATCCGATTAATTCCAGGGCTAGAAAGTGAAACCCCCTTCGGCACATGACGGGAGGGAAAATAACAAGTTTCTTTTTGATAAGATTGGGCAAAAATCGCGTAGTCCATTTTGCCGTCCATGAGTGGAAACTTTACATGTACTTTGAACTATAAAAATATAGAGCCAGAGAAAGAGGGGGAGGTCCAGGTGGAGGGTGAAAGTATGTATGAGAAGGAGAGAGGCAGAGAAAGCAACAAACAGAGGTACAGAAAACAGAAAATGTGAAAATAGAACAAAGAAAGACAGATAGACAGACAAAAGGAATCAAAATGATAATGGGGGAGAGGGAGTGGGAGTGAGTGAGAGTGGGAGTGAGTGAGAGAGAGAGAGAGTGGGAGTGAGTGAGAGAGAGAGAGAGAGAGAGAGAGAGAGAGAGAGTGGGAGTGAGTGAGAGAGAGAGAGTGGGAGTGAGTGAGAGAGAGAGAGAGAGTGGGAGTGAGTGAGAGAGAGAGAGAGAGTGGGAGTGAGTGAGAGAGATAGAGAGAGTGGGAGTGAGTGAGAGAGATAGAGAGAGTTGGAGTGAGTGAGAGAGATAGAGAGAGTAGGAGTGAGTGAGATAGATAGAGAGAGTGGGTGTGAGTGAGGGAGATAGAGAGAGTGGGAGTGAGTGAGAGAGATAGAGAGAGTGGGAGTGAGTGAGAGAGAGGGAGAGAAAAAGATCGCATTGAACGTTTCTGACCATCATAAGATTACTTCTACAAAACATTTGTCGTTTTTCTTTACTTTATTTTGATATTGTGTTTTTCATCCTTGTTACAGTCGTTTTGTGTATATAGTAATTGTTTTGGTGACCTGTATGTTGTTATTACTCTGTCATCAACTAAAACTACAAAATACTCTCTCTCACACATACATACACCCACAAAATAATTGAACATGTATGACCCTTATTATATTTTATGACGGAATTATAGGCGTAGGACATACTGCCACTAACAAAAGAGCGATTTTGTCAATCTTGCAAATAAAGAAAGATATATTTAATAAAGATAATACAAGAGGCTAGATTATATGAAAATGCCTCACTGTGTTGAAGTGTCACGTACTGTCAATTTAATAATTTAGCTCGTTTATCCAGCGGTTTATCCAGCGGTTTATCCAGCTTAATTATACAATAATCTCATTAAAATTTGATTATTTGTTATTACTTCGTGCGTATTTTGTAAGAACGAACTAAGTAAATTATCCTTTTTATAAGCTGCTCGATAGCCCTAATGGAAAGTGTTCGGATTGATTTGTACAATTTAACAATAAACGGGAAATGATCAGTATTGATCAAACTGCCAACGTCAGCACAACGTCCCTGGAGGGCTCCGATGGATAAATATACGATCTTAAATGTTTACCAGTTTTACAAAATGTGAATTGTAAAAAAAATATTATTTATACAAACTTCAAAACTATCTATTTTGATTCGAGAATTTTCAAGAATTTCGGCCATTTATAATTTTGTCAATATTGGAATTTCTTATAATTCGAAATCAGGTCAATTTGAACAGTCCAAATGCCTGAAAGATTGCGTTCGGGAAGGAACGTAGTATGTAGGGTGGTTGATTGGATCCTCTTCAAAATCAAATGGAAGCGGTAAATCAAGTCATGATTGGATAAAACGATAAACCTTTAAGTTTTAAATTCTTCGAGGATGAAAGGAGAAAATCAATTGGAAAAGCTGTAGGCAATCTCGTTTTCTGAATGTTTCTCTGCTATAGGAAAATTAGTTTAAAAAAGAGACAAAATGCTTGAAGCAATTATTTTTATTTATGTTGAAATTTGTCTGTAAGACCGTTTCTGCATTTCGCTTCAGTATGTCTTTTTGTTCCATCCTTGCCAGACCCAACAGTTAGGATGGCAAAACAGTTTGACCGACCAATCTAGCAAAGTATAGGCAGTTAGTTCTTTTTTTTGTCTTTCCACGATTTGTATTGTATGACAAACAAAAACAAAAAATATCTATTGGTCTACATTCTAAAACATCAACTATTTCAAAGAAAGATTCGCAGACCAGGATGATCAGTAACCACCAAATTTCAGGTTTATCACCCCTCAGAAAACCGGATAAAAATCGCACTAATTATTTTTATTCCATTGATTTATTTAGCGCCATCGCTTATCTTTACGAGATCTGCTACTCGTCAGGTAAAATAGTCCTATCCGGTCTACTCCTATATTGGAAACAAACATTCGATTGGGTATGATATTCGGGGTGCTCTAGAATCTTAAGAGTATTCCCTTTTACCTGTCTGATACTAAAATCATATTTAACTGACATACACTGTCAAGTTATCATTGATTAAATACCAAGGAATTATCTTTGACAAGAAATTAACCTCGGACACTAGAAGTTAAATATCACTTGGCCACAAGATAACCCACCACCTAGATAAATCATGAGGACTAAAACAAAATATGGCATATTGGTTATGCAGCCAGTTAGTTATCTTATGGCTCATTTATCTGGTCGACTAACGCTCTACAAAAATTAGAAAAAATACTCTGAAGTCATCAGAGAATCCTCTCTGTAAACCGGCTATTGCACAGTTGCAGGGATACTACAAGTAGTGCAACGCGTTATACAGCGCGGACTTTCTTAGTCTTTCTCAAACTTTACCCTACCGCTCTTGGTGTATGGAGTGTTGCTTCGGTGTATTCCTAGATAGGGAACAAGCGTTCGATGAAGTATGGTATTCAGGGCTACTCTTGAAGCTTAAGAGATTCCTCCCATTTTCCAACCGACAGAGACTAGTCATCAGTAGTTCTCCATCAAACGGCTATCGCACAAATTCAGTGCTACCCTAAGGGAGTTATTAGGTCCCATCCTTACAAAGTATAAACCGCGGACATTCCTACCCTTTATTTTCAACCTAATGATTTGTATCACTATTCTGAGATCAATTTGGACATACAGCTTTGAATTACAGATTTCAACCAAATCTTCCAACCTCAAACGTATTTACCATTACAATCCAACTCCTCTCAACCATAGTTAATTCACCTATCTATGTATCCACCTACCAGTTACAATCACATTCCAGTCTGTCCTTCAAGTCTAAAACAAGTTTCATAAACAATCCTGTCAAACAAACCCTCGTGACCTCCTAAATGACCACTACTGACACTATATTTACTTCAGCGCAAGTGTAAATAAATAAATTAAAAAATAATATTTTATAATGTAAACAATATTTAAGTGTAAGTATGTGGCATATATGCGATCATCGATTTCAATTAGGGGGTAGGTATTCCAAGGTTTAATACCGAGTTGCTCCAGGCATATTGTAATGACCCTCCAGATAGCTCCGGTAAATATTAAGCATTCCTCGGCCGCGATCCTTTCCCGCATTTGACAATTTTAAGACTGGCTTTACGGGGATATCATTAAGCATATCCGCCCGGCTTAATAGCACACCCCCGGC